GAAGCTGGGGGAAAGGGCACGTGAAGGGCCGCTCACCTGGGCCTCAGGGTCAGTTCAAGGCTGAGCTCCACCCCTTGGAAGCTGTGTGACCTTAGACAGACAAGTCTCTTCACTGCGCTAAGTGTTTGCCAGACAACGAGGATAAGAACATCCTCTGGTTTGTTTCGACAACGAGGAAATCCATGAACGTGGTGAGCACCATGTCCAGCATAGAATCAACCAGAGAACCAACCAAACTCACCGGCATGGGGTCCATGCCAACTCATAGGGACCCTACAGGACAGGGAGAACAGTTTTCCCAGACTTTAGAATTGATGGGAACAGAAAGCCTCATCTGTCTCCTTCCGAGCAGCAGGTAAGTTCAAACCACTAACCTTGTGGTGAGCAACTCAATTCATAACCCACAACTCTGCCAAGGATGTAATCCTCACTACTAATCGATCGATTCCTGCTCACGGCGACCTCGTAGGACAGGGTAGAACGGTCCCTGTGGGTTTACCAGACTGTAGAGCTTCACAGGAACAGAGAGCCTCATCTTTCTCCCAAGGAAGAGCTGGTGGTTTTGAACTGCTGACCTGGTAAGGAGCTGCCCAACATACTATCCACTGTGTACCAGGTCTCCTGGCAGTGTATAATCACACACCAACTCGGCGCCGTTAGTGAGTTTGGTTTCCGTGCATAGTAAGTGCTCATTAAAGGGAACTGCTGCTTTCAGGGCCCCCGTGCCCTGCCTGTACCATAAAGAGATGCACGAGATAGGAATCCCCCAAGCAGCAGCCCTCGGCACCCTTCCAGCCACCCGAGGGACTAAGAGGCAGCACAGTAAGGTAAGAAGACTCAAGTGTGCCTGGTTTCAAATCCATGCCCCGCCACAGATGGGCTGCAACCATCGGGCAAGTTGTTAAACCTCTCTGCGCTTCTGATAGCGCCTACCTCACGCGGTGGCTGTGAGGATCAAATGAGCAGAGCTCCCAGGAGCAGTGGCTGGCACGCAAATGCGAGATGTTTTCAGAAATGCTACCGATTGCTGACCGGTTGGTGACCAGGAGTGTGCTTCTGGCGCACTGAGAAAGCCTGGCTTTGTTCTCTTTTTCAGTGGACACATTTATTTTATAAGGATAACCTGTGCATGCCAGAACCTGCATCAGGTGGGAAGCCCGAGCCTTTCCCCTTATGAGGAGTACTGGGGAACTGGTAAGACGCCCCCAGTCAGACTGCAGCCTGGATGAACCAGAAAAGCCAGGCCATCGAGCAGCTGCCCTCGAAAGTTCCACAGGGCTACAAAAAAGGGCCCTTTCTTCGCAGCACCACCATCAATCATGAGACTCACGCGGTGGTTCAATGCTTCCACGGTCGTTGGTCCCAGCTTGTAATAATTAAACAGTCACCACTAAAATGAATAGTTCACTATTAGAATTTGAGTCAAATTGCTGAAACTCCCAGGCAGCCAGTTAGACCTGGGTGCTCCTCACGCTGGGGTCGCAGCCTCCGGCATTGCCAGGCCTTTATGGTCCTGACTCCAATCTTCCTCTGGAGCCACGACCTGGGTTTGAATCCCAGCTTCCCCCAGCCTAGCAGGCGCACAGCACATGCAACCCAGTCCATGCACAGGTGCCTGGAAAAGCTCAAAGGCACAGTCAAGGTGGGATGCAAGGATCAAACCCACGGCCACGGAGTCGATGCCGACTCCCTTTGACCCCATTGGACAGGGAACACCTCTCCCACTGAGTTTCTGAGACTAACTCCAGACAGGAGTAGAAAGCACCCTCTTACTCCTGAGGAACAGCTGGTGGTTTAGAACTGCTGACCTTGTGGTTAGCTGCCCAACTCGAACCCCCTGTGCTAACAAGACTCCTTGATTAAAGGATTAGAAGGGGAAATTCCATTGTTCCTCCGACCTTCTCCACCCACCAGAGGTAACCGAGGGTCCTCAGTCTTTTCCAAAGTAAAATGACCTGGGCAAGGGGGCCAGGTGGTGAAGCCCTGTCAGCTTCCCTGCCCTCTAGTGTTGAGGGGTCCATGCTGACCCTCTGGAGAGGCTGAGACTACACCTGCTGGGGCAGAGCCTTACCTTGTGGTTTCCCCAGAGTCTGGCCAGCCCGTTGGGATCCACAACTCGAAAGATCTTGGCATCTTTGTCTTCCCACTTGATGTAAGGTTCGTACCTGGCGTCGGAGAGGAGCTGGTACACATAATCCCACAGCAGCCGACAGTCTGCAAGAACACCGGGGCCGGGGCCGGAGCCCGCCGGGGCCAGCAAGATGGTGAGGATGCACGTATTCATAAAGGCAGCTGTTGAAGGGCACCCCGACTCCCTGCCGCATCCAATCCTCAGGACTCTGGGAGAGGAACCTTAACCCCTGTCTTGTGTTCATTCCAGGGACTCTGGGGGCATAGTAGTGCTTACATGGTGGGCTGCTAACTGCAAAGTCGGCAGTTTGAAACCACCAGGGGCTCCGCGGAAGACAGGGCCTTTGACTCCTGCCATGAGTTACAGTGCCGGAAAGTCACACGACAATTCTCCCCTGTCCTGTCGGCTCGCTAGGGGTGCGAGTGGACACGATGGCAGTGAGTCTGGTTTGGCGGTTTGTGCCCTGATTTTACTGCTCGCTGCCGTGGAGCTGATTCAGACTTGTGTGCGTGCAGCGTAGAACTGCAGCCCAGAGGGTAATCTAGGCTGTGACCTTTCAGAAGCAGATCACCAGCCCTTACTTCCACCCCGCCTCCAGCTGGCTTTGAGCCATGAACCCTTTCAGTGAGTAGCCCAGTGCCTGCCTAACCCGGCTCTACCTGATGCCTCCACTGGAGCACTTGCATCTGAACCCTGCCCCCAGCTCCCTCTCCGAACTCAGCCAGTCCTACGCCGCCTGGACCACATTAATCCAGCGTGTCATGTCCAGCCTGTTGAGGCCTCAAAGGGGCAGCGGGAACTCAGTTGTTGAATCCTGGTCTCCCACAAGGGAGACTCTCATTCAATTCCTGCAAAGCACCTCACACACAGCTGCCCGTGGAGGCCTGTGTGCGGCCAGGTCTCAGAGGCGCTTCCAGACTAGGAGAGCCTGGGAAGAAAAGCCTGGCGGGTCTCCTTCCAGAGCCAGCTGGTGAACACCTCTGGGCGAGGACTGTGACCAGCCAGATCTCACTGTGCACGGGGGCCGCCATGACTCCAAGGTTCACGATGGCAGCCAACAGCAACAATCCACAGCCGAGCAGCCGGGGAGGTCTCAGGGCAACCCAGCGGGCTGGCCGGCCTGGATAGCGGGCGGACAGTGAGGCTGCAGCAACTGCACCGTCCTGAAATCCCTGTGCCCGGGCTTCGTGGCGGGGTGCTTTAGTCAACCTACCTCTTCCAAGGGGGAGTATAAGGGGACCAACCGCAAAGCTAAACTCCCTGCCACGGAGTCAATGCCTACCCACAGCGGCCCCACAGAACAGGGTAGAACTGCCCCATGGGTTTCCCGCTCCACGGGAGTAGAAAGCCTCGTCTTTCTCCTGAGATGCAAGGATGGATGACATAATTATAGATCAAACAACCCCCACCCCCCACCCCACTCACTTAGCACCTGGCCTGGGACAGATGGCTGTCTTTTCCGGGATTTCCAGTCCCTGCCAATCTGGAAGGCAAGCTTCTCCCCTTCCGCGGTGTGAGAATAAATATGGGGGCCCTCCACCACCAGAACGCAGGCTTCAGCAAGGCAGGTGGTTTATCCTTCACTCTGCCTGGTGGTCTGGCTCTTGTCAATCGTTAGACAATGACTGTGCAGTGGAGCCAGGCTGCCTGGATTCATGCCCCAGCTCTGCCACTTACTTGCTGTGTGCTCGTGGGCAAGTGACTTACCTCTCTGTGAAAGGGGGCTAAAGGACTGTACCAGCCTCACGGGGGGCTGTGGCAGGGATTGAATTCATTCGGACTGGCACATAGGGAGTGATCAAGGATTTTAAAATCGATATAAGTTAAAAAGAAGGAGGAGGCACCTACTGCGTGCCAAGCTGAGTGCCGGCTCCCTTTGGGGAAGTTGTTCCTGCCATTGACACCAGATCATGGCCAGCACGTGGGGCTGTCACCCCACCCCTTGCACTATGACCTCTCACCACCACCACCACCAACCCCAGGTCAAAACAACGCCTCTCCTTGTCCCCATGACACCTGCCCGACTCGGCCTCAGCACACCTCCTCTTGGCGGGAGTTGGTGGGGGTGGGGGGTGGGACCCAGCCCTTACTCACCTGCGAGCTTGCCGTCGATGGGCACCTGTGACCTGGTGGGGAAGGGGCAGACCCCCTCAGGCCTACAGTCGGGCTCTGCACACTGAGATAAGGAGAAGGGTTCCTCTCTGCCAAGGGGCCACTTGGCCAGGCTGGGGACATCCAGATGGCGCAAGGAGCTGGAAAGCTTCAGGTCTGGTGG